TGCAGATATAAGCAAGGTTAAAGGAATTTAAACTTTTAATATATTTAAATTTAAAAACCAAAATATCTATTTCATAAAATACCATCGTCGGGATGTTAGGGATAACACCCGTATAATTTAAAAATGAAGCCAACTTCTTGTAGGTATAGTTGGGTCTTAAATTCTAATAAGCTACTTGTTTTTAACATTTTTGTAGACAATAAAATATTGAGGCGCCTTCCACTATTATTAAAATTAAATATAGAATACAGCTAATGCGACATTTAAAAATTTTTAATTGGATGAGTTGTTTAATTAAATTTAAGCAAATTGGCCAGTTCATCTTGAGATTCCAAGTTCATTCAGTAATTAATGTTTTCTTTTTTTTATTTGTCTAATTAGTTTTTAGCAGTCAGCAATTGTTTTCTGGAATACTTTATTAATAAAGATGTTTCTCTTTTTCTCGAGTCTGCCGACTTTTTCTGATTAAACAAATCCCTTCTTTTACTCAACACTCTGGCGCATATTCTGATTTATTCTATTGATTTTATTTTAGATTCATTTAATATAATACCGTTTTTTAAATACATTCCCATATTTCAGGGTGGGATTCCAAGACTAATAATAAATTGAAAAGTTAAAATAGTTATGGGACCTAAAGTTATACTCTAAGTACCGTTTTATTGGAAAATAATGTATATGAGAGTCTTATTTTCTTGAAAATCGAGGGTCCTTGGTCAAATTGATAAGAGGAACTTTTCGTAAACTTTAATAAAATTGTAAAAAATATCAAAAAACTAGGAAGTTAGATAGGTATAGTATAACCAGAGATCTAGTGACTCTCATAAATCATATTAGCCGACAACCCTCATTATCACTATTGTTCGATTTGCAGATAAGCGATAAAATTGTCTGTTGATTAAAAGATTCCCAGGTCCGGATTAAAATATATATTCTCATGAAATAGTAAATAATATGTTTTTTAATATTATAATTGAGGGCTCCCTATTTCAATTGTTAACAGTTTTGAATGTAAAACTATTTTTATAATAAAAAAATTCCTAAAATTTAAAGTACTTATAAATAAAATTTACTTGCCTGACCACCTGACTTTCTGTACTAAACGTCTATTAAGGAGATTAGCGATAATGGGATATAGAGTTACAAATAAATTACCAGACTTTGAAGACAAGAATAATATTGTTTAAGATAACGAGTCCTATAATTCCAGACAGATTAGAGAAAGTTAAATAAATAATGGGGAGTTAGTTAGTATGTAACTGACCAATTACTGTTTTTAGAAACGAAAGGAGGATAGTAGTTAAACTAAATTCAGTCAATAACGAATATTCCGATGTGTCAGTCTTAAAAATTTTATATACCTAGTGAAAAATTTTCCGTCCATGGGTTGAACCTGCAGCCAGTACTTCAACTGGTGGTGGTAATACCACTAATCGACAAGTTTTACACGTTGATGGGAAAAAAATATGAAGGGTTTATACCTCCCTTATGAAACGTGGAATGACCAAGACTCAAGCAGTGCGAGATACTACCTCTTTAACGAAAACGCCGTATTCTGCAGTATTTAAAATAGTAGGTAACCCTATTTTAAAAAGAAGGACAGGAAAAGACTCTGGTACTTCAAAGATACTAGATGGTTGTGATGTAGACCTATTTCGAAAGAAAATATATGACTTGTATAGAGAGCATTGTGCCTACACTAGATATGTTGATGCAACGACTTGAAAAGGACGAAACTGGCATCCAGTGTAGCAAAGAGACTTTAAGGAAGTCTCTTTTAGGAAACAGGTTTAAATTTAAAAAAATTAATAACAGCAAAAAAGTCATAATGGAATCTGTGCGCCTTAAGCAATGGAGATTTCAATATTTATTTGCAATAAATGATTTTAGAGAAGCTGGCAGAACAGTTGTGTATTTGGATGAAACTTGGTTCAATACATACGATATTCCAAATAAAAGTTGGGTAGACTCATCTGACTTGTGCCAGACTAATGCGCCACATAATAAAGGCAAACGTATTACTATAATACACGCAGGAACCAATAATGGTTTTATACCTAATGCGTTGTCGTAATCGGCAAAAAATATTAAGGACTTCTTTGTCGATTTCCATGACGACACTACTGCCGAATTATTTGAAGATTGGTTCCAAACTAAACTTTTGCCAAATATTCCACCCAACAGTGTTATCGTCATGGATAATGCCACAGTCGAAGACTAGATGAGGCACCTTGTTCAAACGACATAAAAGCCATCATACAAGATTACATGGTAAACAGTGATTTGTACTTTGAGGAAAAGTACACAAAAAAGCAGTTTCTGGAAGTTTTAAAAAGATTTTCAATACAAAAAAAATATTTTTGTGACACATTAGCTAAGAGCTTGGGACTTCCTCCTTACCACTGTATGTTTAACCCAATTAAACATATATGGCGTCAGCTTAAGTCAGCAGTTCGAAGAAATAATACTTCTCCAACCTTAAGTTCGACTGTGGTAGCTCTTATTCAAACAGAAGCTGCAAAAATTCCTGATAGCAGCTGGACCAAGTGTGGTTCCCAAATAAAAAAGGTGGAAAAGACATATATTGATATAAAAAAGATACCAAGAGAAAGGTTCATTATTAATTTGGATGACGATAGTGAAAGTGAAACTGAACTTCGTGAGTAATTCTGCGTCACATGCGAGGTTTTCCAAAATATGAATATGAATTTGTTATAAGAGTAAAGTGTGCCTTTACCTATATCATCGACAATATCGAAAATTGTTTTAATGAAAAATGTTTCCATCTATCCTGAAATATACGATTTTCATAATTTTTTTACACATTTCTTTCTATAATAGCCTTGTGTTTGTGCTCCTATTGCTATGAGTGGGTGTTGCTATCACATTCACTGTAATGCTGCGTCAAAGCATTCTAGATTAAATATCTCTGAATTTTTTTCAAGGCTGATGAAGTGAAAAATATGTAAAACATAATAAAATTATTACTTCTCAGGGTAAATAGATGAAATGGAATATTAGAACATCTAAATTATGATAAACTTTTATTCATTACAATGTTCGTATTGTAAAAAAATTAGTTTTGACAAACCTAGTATAGAATGACAGTTTTTTTTAATTTTAATGGTTGTATTTTAAACCATATAAAATTTTTGATTAAAAATAACCTTTTATTCTTAAAATTATTATTACAAAGTTTTCCGTATGGTTTAAACTTAAAGTATACATCACGTTAAATAAAATAAATTTGGTTTATTTTCAAATATAAATTGGAAACTGGATAAGTATTTATTCTTCCAATCTAAAAAATTCAATTAAAAAAATCCTCCATGCAATATCTTTTTGGTATAATTGAACCCAGAAATCTGGATTAATGAATATTGAAAAGTTGACCTTTTTTCGGCAAATTGTACGCGGAGATTTCGACATAGACTGATTGAGTATAACACATTAAATATTCCATTAACTCTAAAGATTCCTAATGGAATCGCAAAATTCAATTAAAAAACTGTTCAGTTATCCAGAAAAAATATTTGCATTTTTAAGATCCTTCTCCTTATTCTAGAAACGTTTAGAATTAAATAAATCGAATACTCTAATTATAAAAGTGAAGGTGAATATCTAGAAGTATCGCAAAGGATTCGATATTCCAAGTTTAGCAGGAAAAATAAAAATAATTTAGAGAGTTTTTTAATGAATTGTTTTTATTGCATTTTGCAGAAATAAGTTGGTTGCTTTCTTTAGCAAACAACACTGCTTTCTGAAAAACAGTTTTTAGGGAAGTTCTGTCAACAAACCATGCATATCAAAAGTAGTGCGATAAATTGCACAATGTTTGAAAACCAGTAGACACTGTCGATCATTGTTAGATACTGTAGGTTACTTGATTTATCGCAACAATAATTAGTTACAAATTATTTAACAAACCGATGGCAAGTTGTAAAAAATAAAAGCACATACAGCAGTTAAGGGTATTTAGATTTAGTTTGACCAAACAACAGCTGTAAGTTCCATTTTGTTCACTTTCCCTTTAAATTTCAGTCTCGCATCTAACTTAATTCAACAAGTAATAACAGTAATTTTAAAAAATCCCGTCACCACATCTTAACCAAATTTATATGGGACCACCCCTGAGGTACCCCCTTACTAACAAAAAAATAATAGAAATCGGACAAGATGGTAAAGAATTATAGCTAAACATACATAAAAAAAAGAATCATAGAAATTGGACAAGGTGGTAAAGAATGACTGCTAAATATACATTAAAAATAAAGAGTTTGAGGTTTTTCTAATGGACCCAATTATTAGATTTTAACCCCCTTTCTAACAAAAAAAGAATCATTGAAATCGGACACCATAAACATACACAAAAGAAAATAATACGACGAGTTGAGAACCTCCTCCTTTTTTGAAGTCGGTTAAAAACTAATAAGTTTTTTCAGATGAAAATTTGCGTACTTACTATATGACAACAAAGACTGGGTGCGCTTTAATTTACACGCTGAAAAAATATCTGCTATTATTAATATTTCATTGTAAGTTTTTTGTTCGCAATATTTCACAAAAGGCCACCAAAGTGCCATTGCTAAAAAATATTATTTACCAATAACATATTCAAAATAAATTATATAAATAACTACTATCTAAATATTCCACAAACGACTAATGTAATAAACTCCCTGATTACAAATTAAAATTACTCTTTACATCACAACTATGCCACTGGTTTTTACAATCAAACGTTCTGAAAAACAAAAAAACTTGAGCACTGATAAAAATGTTTAAGCATTTACAAGTTCCTGAGTCGTATCTAAGCGGTGAAAATGCAACTCTCGATTTTTTTCACTGTATACAAAATACAGGAATTGATATATATTGTATGCTTCCTTGCTCTCTATATTTCAAAACACTTTCGCAGAACTAACTTTTGAACGAACCCTATAAATTACATTTATTTAATTCGTATTAGAGTATCTATATGATTCATTAAAAACACTCACCGTGACAAAATTGCAAGTCGATCAAACTTAGATATTAGAAGACACATACCTGAAACAAAAAATAAAGGAACTGTAATTTCGTTAATCAAAAGCGGAACGCGAAAAATTAAGGTCGCAACTGTTATTGTTTGAAAACATATTTCTCATTCTCTTAAAGAGAAACTGTAAAAAGTTTTAGATGACAATAAAACTGTTTTTAACTTCAAGTCGAAAGGACTAAAATATTTTTATCTCCAGTTTTATGATGCATGACCTTTTTTTACGACATTTACATAAAAGAAAACTTTAAAATTATATTCGTGTTTTTTTACATTTTGATGAGACCGTTTTAGGACAGAATGGCTGGCTTGAAGATGGATGAAGAGATTCGCAGAATTAACTTTAGAAGCAAGTCAAAGATTGAAGATATATGAATGATTTTATCATACATGAGCAAACTTCAACTAAAATGTTTTGTGTAGGTCCCGAAAGAGAATCATCAAAAGTTTTTTTTAATTAATAGTAAAGGGAAAAATAATTTAAGTTAGGAAAATCACATTAATGGAAGGATTCTGAGACATATCCTGTAAGCTATAGAATCTATAAGGCTATAGCATTGTAATGTAATTTTTACAGATTTAGATTTATAGATCTTATGCGTTAGAATATACCAATTAAAATCAAATTTATGGTCTTCTCTGTTTATAAGTTTTTCATCTTATGCCTCCAGTATTAGGGTTTTTGATTCTGATACTAGTGTAAATAAAAAAAATGAGCTGGCCTGAAATCAGGGAAGAAGGTCTTTAAATAACTTTTATTTAGAATATCGTCTCCAATTTGGCAAAAAGGAACATATTATGGAATCACCTAGCTATCAGTCGTTTTACTTAGATATTGTTATTTGAAGAAACAATTAAAATTTTAAAAAGTTGTAGTAAGTAGTAGCCCAAACAGAGGGGGTACCTAAAAATTGGAAGTTAAAAAAATCCTCTGAAGAGAATCCAACACATCTCTAATGTGATCCATCTTCAATCAATGAGACAAATAAAACTCAAAATCAATCCAATATATTTTTTAATAGAAACGCCGATCGGTTTACTTCATAGAAGGATTTTAAATCTTAAACGGTTTTTAAATTATAAACAATCAGATCATTAACTCAAAATATTATCTACTACACATTTTTAGACTTTTGTTGTGCCCAATTTTAAGTTTTAAAATTTTGTTTACATCCCACATAATATGTAACAATTGAACAATATCTTCTCATTTGCTGTTTTTAGGATACCATTATATATTTTATCGTCATGTACCACATTGGTTTAAATCGTTCATTATAAGTGCATTTAATAATGCCTTAATTTATTGTTTGCAATTTAAAAATGTTATGCTCTATAGACAAAAAAACCTGTTGCCGTCTTCATTAAAAAATATCTATATGTGGGATAGATTGAGATTTATCAGTCTCATTAAAAAAATTTTAAACTGTTTTTATTCGTCCCATAATTTTTATAAATTGAGTGCACCTGAAGATGGAAAAATTGTATTTTCCGAAACATATGTAGTATGCTAAACAATAGAAAATAAAAACTTTCGACCGATTAAACCAAGGAAATTTTTATTTATATAATATTCTGCTACGGTTAGGAAATTATCCTTATTCACATTTTTAGAGTTTCGAGAAAACGCTGTTCAAAAGTTTAAAATTAAATAAAAAATCGGTAAAAGCTTCAAATTGTTTAATAAATAACTCCAATGAAAAAGGGCATTCAAGACATAATGTCTTTACAAAATATAACAAAAAAAGAGAAACAACTTCACTTAGCTTATTTTAGTTATCTACATCCAGCCGTGGGATTCTCATCTTTCAATACGACAGGTATCAAAACGCTTATCTTCGTTCGAGAGACTTCAATTCTTATGTCTTTCTTTGTTCCATACGTATCGTGTAGAGTTCGATCCATGTGCACTGTGCAGGTTATAATATTCAATGTCTGTATAACTATCTACTCTGAAAGGTTTAGGAACTGTGTCTTTAACATTATTGGATACAGGTAGATTGTGATAATAATGGTGAAATTCAGCAGGTGTAGCACCTGATTTGCAAAGTTTTAGTAAATTTTTCTTCTTGGCATTACTAATGTGTTGCACTTTTTTGTAAGTATTTCAAAGCTTTTTTCACCCTTTCAGGCATCCTTCTGCCGGTATGGCTTGGGTTTTTCAAGCAATGCAAAAAGCTGGTGTTTCGGTGATTTAAAAAGTGGTCGTTTTAACTTGCAAACAATATGAAGACGTGCGTCAGCATCCCGCTCGTTACGGCTTGTCCAATCACTTGTTACAGCTTGACCAATCAATCATTCACCACGGCGATTCGGGCATCACGTGTTATCATCTATTGATTTTTTAAGGTTAGCTGTATCATGGAAAGAAAGGGTGACGTAATCACCTTATCGATTTTGGACCAATCGAGAAAGGCCAGAGACGGCTTTAGGTAAAACCAATGGCTTGGGCAAAAAGTTAAACTATTTCAACAAAAATAAGTTTTTTTGGCAGAAACATTAGACTAAATACATTCAGCAAAAATAAGTTAAATGTCTCTTATTCGGTTTTGGTAGACACACTGTTTTAAATATAATTCAGTATAAATTCCACTCATCTTGTTTGTGCATAATATTGTGAATGTATTAATATGGAGTTAGTTTTTATTGAACATCTGTTTATCATGAATATAAACTTCGTTAACACTTGTCTTGTTTATGCCTTATATTATTTGAACTATTTGGAGACGGAAGTGTACTTAACTCGAAAATGCCGAAAGTAAATCTATCTTGATTTTCCAGTAACCCCATGATCCAAACGATTATTTTAAAATTAGTGTTATAATATTTAGCGCAGCGATCGGCGAATGTTTTCGCGCGTTTCGCTCAAGTTTTAAAAAGCACCTTCCTAAGAATAGTGTTTCGGACCATAAAGAAAAGCTTGGAGGGCCGCAGGTTGAGTATGGCTGGTCTAGAGAAATGGGCACTTGTTCAGAATACGAGAGGTTTTTTCAAATCTCTTATTTTCAACTTTGGGGTTCGCAGATGGTCTTAATAATTCGTAAGGGGATTTTTGAGATTTGCTTCCGAATTTTCAAATTATTCAGGTACTTATTTCAGATATTACTCTTTTCCTATTTTAGATTTGAGATTTACGATTTATTAAATTCACAATTTCTGTAATATTATCGTTTGTAAATCCTTCACATTCATCTAAGTATATATGTAAGTATGTATTCATGATTTCTATATTTCTTTAAACGAGACATCGAATAAAGAAGGTTTATTTTGACATAAGTAAGTTTCTTTGAATTCTCAGCCAAATTATTTTTCTTTGGATTTGTTTTTTCACGTTCAGCGACTCCAAATGTCGATGTGATGTTTAGATCTTCCTTAAGTGTGCTTTTATTAATCATATAGCTTAAGTATGATTCGTTTTGCTTATATAATAATTGTTTGTTTTTCCTTCGGTTTTGTTTCCTGTTTATAAGAAGACCAGTTATACGTTATCCTAAGGCTTGAATTAGAGTAACGACGCCTGTTCTTACTCTACACTGTTGGTCATATCAATACATAGCAATCAATTAGTATGAATAACAGAGTCATACAAACATTTTAACCAATCAATTTAGATTTATTGTTGAAATTTTTTAAATTATCTTCGTGAATAATAACTCGATTCTGATTTTTTTTACATATTTAAAGTGAATGTATATCGATATATAGCAATAAAGTAACACTTCCTTTTTTGCCAAGAGTAGTATCAAAATCTTTTCGACTTGCTTACTGAACCTGAATAAAGAGACTATCAACCGTTATTGAAATAACTTACGGATTAGATCGACCTGCATAATACAAATTATACGCATTCTCTAGGTTTACGCCTTGCTCGGAAGAAGTAAATTGAAATCTCAATTTTTCCGATTGATATAAATGCACATTTATTGTAATTTAACGGCAAGTTAAAATGACGTTCTTGGTTTCAAACTCTACTTAGACACCTAAAGTATATAAAGCAAACTTTTCAGACTAAAAAATTTTTAGTAAAGCGGCGTCAAAATCGTTTTGAAATCTCTATTTTGTTGGATTAAAAATTTGTGTAATGGCTATGTTTACGCTTCTATTGTGATCTGCTTTGTGGTAAAAAACAATATAATAATGCAATATCACTTCAATATGAGGAAATGAGAAATTATATAGCAAGAGTAACAAACTCCCAATGACGTGCACCCGAGATAATATTGTATATTGTATTACCTACGAATACTGTTAATTTTTAGATTTTTTGTGCAACTGTAAATAAGTGATTTTTTATAACTAATATTAGTTATTATTTAAAAGGTTTAAATAATACTTAATTGCAGTTTGTGACCAACAACAAAATAACATTTTAAATACTTTTAAAACAATATATTATTCTTTGACTCAAATTTCGGACTTTCATAAATTTTATCCAGAATATATAAAACAGCCGAATCAAATCTAGAAAGACTGATTTTTTTATCAAAAGTAATAAGACCATCATTGTTGAGTTTCTATGATAAATATATAAATATAGATATGTCACATTTGGCAAATCTGTAAGGAATTAAGAACATTGGCGTGCATTTGATAGCTCAGTTCAATGTTAGTATAATAAATTGAAGGTAAATACAGGTTAATTAAAGAAATAATTACCCAATACCCAGGCAAAGGAGCTAGTTTAGTCAGTACCTTTAATATGCATTGATTTAGTAGCATCGCGACAAATTTATTAGTTGAAATAAGAAAATCTGTCTGTTTGAACAGTTGAAAAAAAATGATTAGGGATCCGTACAATCTCATGTTGTATTTTTGAATATTAACTTTGACATATTAACTAGACCTCTTAAGGCGCCACATCTCAGGATATTATAGAGTCAAGCATAATTGGTGGCTCATCAGATTTCTGGTTTTATTATACAAAAATATGATGTTCTTCTGGATGCGCAATTTTTGATATAAGTACGTATATTTTTTAAGACGTCATTGTTATTCGAGATAAGACAAAATT